TCCACAGATGAGACAGACGAAGAGATTGATGACGATGCTAGGAGCGATCCCAACGTAAAGATCGAAGGAGTAACTCATCGCCAAATCGGAATGCTATCCTTCAAAATCTTGATCGCGACGCCTTGGCTCGCTGTATCCAAACTCACGAACTTGGAAGTGAAAAGGGTCATTGAAATCGTGAAGAAAACCTGGGCCCGGACCATCCGAGAGTCTATCCATCATCTACACCACATCAAATCTCCTAGCCCCGCCTTCCTTGATCTCTGGTCCCGCAGTGAACTAGTCCTCGGTCATCAACCCGGCTCATCTCTCCTCTTCTTGAGACTTCTTCCAGATTCGCTCAAGAAATCGCTTCGTCGGCTCTACCTCACCTTATCTGTTACACTTACCCATCCCCGCTCGGATTCTCGCGCAGTATGGGAGCCGAATAATCCTGAAGAGGATGCCTTGTTTACCAATAGTATACGGGATTACTTCCCGAACGTACGTGAGATGGCGATCGAGATCATACCGACATACTACGACTCGTGGCTTGTCGGCAGGACTCCTCCTTCGGAATATGTTCTCGATATGGTTTGGGAGGGCCGCTTGGATACTGTGTGGTTCTATTACAGAGGTGACCGTATATCAGTACAGACAGATAGACTCTTCTTGTGGAACGTGGCGATGGAGGGGAACAACCCTGATGACTACAGTGAGGTGGACTTCTATCTAAAGGGGGTGGAAGAGACCATCTCTCGTACGTCGGCTCGATCCGCGGTATGGCGAGAACTACATGCCTTTCGCATTGTGAAGATCACAAAAGAGCGGAAGCCAGCTTAGTACTGCGGCTGCGACGTGTCTTGTCAAAACTCCCTGTCGTCTTGCTGGTCGTCGGCACACAGCCCTGGCATTGGTCTAAATCCTAGCGTACTCAGTCATGAAGTGAAATTTCGCAGTAGCAGTAAAAGATTGGAAAAAATGCAGAAAAGTAAATTTCACAAGTTTGCGCAATTCTTGGGGCTGCGTGTTTGTCGATGGTACTTGTGAAGAGCCTCGCCAGGCTCGAGCGAGGAAACTAGAAGAGGTCCGAGCGTTTGCGAGACGCGTCCCAGCGCGTCGCGCTAGTGTTATCCCCTCCTTCCGAAAGAATAGAGTGCGCCTTTGACTCAGACTGACCCCCTCCTTCCGCGAGCGCTCTTCGATCATCGTGTTCGCGAGTGCAATACCGAAGCCCGATGTCACATAGACCAACAGACTACTTCGCTGCCTTCTCCTGATGCAAAATGAATCAACGACGACTGAGTCGCCCACATCGCAGTTTCCACGACACCATGGCATTGATGTTCAGTCGAATCAAATCCTTTGCATCTACCTGCCATACTATTCGAGTAAGAATATCACCATACAAGGGAGGGATTCGTTCTCTCCAAAACGCTAACGGTGTCAGTAATCGTTGCGACACACGGAGGAGTTGTCGCATCATTCTGAAACGCGTCCTAGCGCGTCGACCTAAAATGTCCCTCAACACCTGAGTAGAGCCCTCGGATCTCTCTTACATATTTACACAGCAATCACCACTATCTTCCGATTCACACCCAGGTATGGAACAGCCTTAACCACGACCGCAAAGCCTCAAATGTCCACTACTGAACTGCCAACTTCTCGCGGCGAAGCTGCCGATCATCTGGAAGTGTACGCACTTTTAATGTCTGACTTCTGCGTTACTGAAACTGACAGCACTTAGCTTCCGATTACAAGACCTTCCACTAGAGCTTCGCAATTATATCTACGAATATGCGCTAGAGCCGAGGGTCATTCTTTGGCACAGTTGCTTGTGCAACCAACACCCTACGTACCACTTGCCCAATCTCGAGCTGCATCCAGGTATGAAACATGCTAGATCGGCGTTCCTGGTGTTGACGCAATTACAGAAGATATGCAAGATGTTGACGATCGATCCGACAGCTTCGAAGAAGATTTAGAAGGAGACAAGTACTTGCAGGATCCCAACTTGTCAATCGCGGGTAGCCCGCGTGATGATGGAAACACCGCCGTCTTGGCCTTCAAGATCTTGATAGCGACGCCTTTACTCGCTGTGTCTAAAGCCACCAATGAGGAAGTTACGAAGGTACTAACCACCACCAAGAAATACTATGAGAGACTTCTGTTGGCGTCCATATATTTACACCGCATCGCATCACCAAGCGCAGCTCTCATTGATCTATGGGCCAGCTGCGAGTTCGTCTTCCTGCACGAGTACGGCAAGTCCATATTCTTCCTGAGAGATCTTCCAGACTCGCTGAAATCTTGCGTACGCCGGCTGGTGCTCCCTTATGATTTCCTAAGTCTTATTGCATACTCGCGGTGGACCAAAGAGCAATCAAGAGGCGGGGCCTTATTTACAAACTGGATCTCGGATAATTTTCCCAACTTACGGACGGTGGCGATTGAGGTACCAGATATAGACGAAGTCATGGAAATGAATTGGAACGGGGCTTCGGACTATCTGTGCGAGATGCTCAAGAACGGGCGTTTGGACACCGTGAGATTCTGGTACAAAGACTACGAGAACTACGGATGTGCACGTAGGGAGACAGATTCCATCTTTTTTAGACACATAACATTAGAGGGATGCAATTATAGAGGGACAGAAGAGGAGGATCGGTCATTACTGACTGGGGTTGAGGAACCTATATCCCCTACCTCACTGGCGTCTCAACTATGGCGCGACTTAGGGGCATGCCGCGTTGTCAAGATCACGAGGTCGCAGCCACTGCTGCCGTGATGTGTCCTGTCAAGGCTTCCGGTCGTCTTGTTGGTCGTCAGGATACAGGCAGGACGTTAATCTGAACCACGGCGTAAACCGTCAGGATGTGTTTGAAATGAAGTGCCCGCTGCCCCGAAACCTTGCCCAGACAACAGCCTTGCGTTTGGTAGAACGACCTTCTTGAAGTAAGTTTACGCAGTGGTAAAAGAATTTGGTATAAAAAGATGCAGTATCTTTAAGCTTATGCATCCGCGCGACTGTCAGCACTGCGTGACGGAGTCAACGTTACTTGTGAAAAGACTTACGACGAGGCTCTTGGAGAAGGCAGGTCCGAGCTTTGACGAGCCTTGGAGACCTCCAGCGACTCCAGGGGTTATCTTAGCGCGTCGCGCTAGTGCCAATCCCTCACCTGGGCAGTCCGCGAGCGCTTCGCCACCCCATCTTCGCGAACGTTTTCACACGCACCGACAGCAATGACCAGAGAGATGGCGGGAGAATTGCGGTCGGAGTGTGATGATGCCGCCGCGCATTTGCATGTGTCAGTGCCCATTTCAATCATCATTTTATCAGACTGACAACGTGTAGCTTCCGCCTGCACAACCTTCCGCAAGAAATTCGCGATATGATCTACGATTATTCGCTTGAGCCAAGGGCGGTCTTTCGACACACCAATTCAGATGAGGTGGAAATCCAAGATTCGGGGTACAACGAGCCGGACACAGGTAATAGCACGCGTATGGAGCCTCGTCCATCGCCACTAGAGTAGAACTGACATGGACTAGAAGCATGGTTACATACCTTCGATCTGCTGCATCCTCCAGAAGTGGACAAAGAGGAAACCCCAGACGAACTCTACCACGTTTCTTGCAACGATCCCAATGGAGCCGTCATTGACCAGTATCCCTACCCCGAGATTATGATGACGTATAAAATCTTCTCCATATCGACACCCTTGCTTCTGGTTTCCAAAAGATTGCGTATAGAGGCGAAGAGAATACTCGAAGCCAACGAACAGGAGTGGATCGATTACTACACCGAAATTGCGCATTCCAGTATATACTATCATCGGATTGTCAACCCGAGCAAGGCTTTCCAGTACCTTTGGTCTCGCAGCGAGCTCATTCTCGAAAACTGTACATGGAATACCATTTTCTTCCTGCAAACCTTACCGGAGGTTTTGAAGAATAGTCTTAGTCGTCTTAGCATCACTAGCCAGCTGATGAGAGAGAGGAATCCCCTCTCAATATCACGTTGGCCTGGCGACGACGACGTCGGCGAAGCGAGAAGGGCATTGCTGGTAAGACTGTTGGAAAGACACTACCCGAATCTGCGAACGGTGGGTCTTGAGATACCGTGTAAGATGTATAGTGAGGCCACCGTTCACGACTCTGCCGTCTCCTTGTTTTGCTCCATGCTCGAGAGCGGGCAGCTAGACACCATCCGATACTTCTACACGATAGGGTATCCAAGGTCTCTATTAGAATGGCTATTCTCTAAGGATGTAGCTTTAAAAGGGTTCGGAATTGTCAGGCGTGGCAGTATTTCGCTTCAGTTCACGTTAGGCAAGCTGCAACAAAACGCGCCAATTTTGATGCGGCCAAAGTTGGCACGAATGGTTAAAGTCCATTTTGGGCTTGGGGATCATCACGATGTTGGGGAACAGGTCGAAACTTTGAAGCCGCTGCATCATCCGTTAGTCGCGGTCCATGAGCCCATGTCCTCTACTTCAGATACATTTGAAGCGTGACCGGCCTGGGGATAGAGCGCGTTCTTAGAGTCACACGCAGGTAGCAGCATAGTACCATGGCTGCGACGTGTTCTGATATTTGTTCTGGAATTATCTAGGTTACAGTCATTGATCGGATGGCTCTATCCTCCAGTCAGTCCTACTGCAGCATTTAGTCAGGGGTGCGCCTATTGGCTGTGCCACGCTACTCACCTCACTCGGCGCCCACTCACCACTAGCCAAACAAATGTGTAAGAAATGTTTGGAAATATTGTCGCAACGTCGCGGTACTGCTTACAAGTATAGATGCCTTATTGGTGGTATACGTTGCGAGAACCGTGGTCAAAGTGTGCAACCATGGTACCGAAAGTCTGCCGCCTTCAGGCATCAAGATCACGTTTTCAGTTCCAGTATGTATACATTGCGCTTGCTTTCCCACTCTCATCTCATCTCTACAATTAACTTCCTGTTTCCAATCATACTCTACAATTAAACTATTGCAGCAACTACCGAAACTCAGACATCATGACTCTTACTATGATTCAATCCTCAACCGAGTTCGAAGCGGATCAGCTCTACAACGCCATTCACTACTCAGATTTCGCCTATGACTACACAACGAAGGTTTCAGCCTATTTGAAAGACTTTCCTGCTCTTCCCTCCGTTTCGACCACCGAATACTCCTACGCACCAACCTCAATACCTACTTGGTGGTCAGATTTCACGCACAATACACTTTTGTCAGACATGTCTTATCCAGTCTCACCAAGAGAGTTGAAATCTCTCATTGCAGCCGAATTACACCAAGGTCTTACGCAGTCAGCTATCCTCCAGCATTGGATGCAGAGATGTGGGAGCGAAATCCCGCTTGGCAGTGCCGCTGCAGCCGCAGCACTCCAAGACGCTATTATCGTGGCCTCTGATGCTGAGTGGTACGAGCACGATGACCATTTCATCACGGAACTCGGAATATCTGTTCTCAATCCGCGTTCCGTGCCACAAACATTTTCCTCATCACCATGGGGTATTCTCACCAGCATGGAGAACTACCACGTGCGCATCAAACCACACGCACATCTCACCAACAAAGACCTCTGCGAAGGGCACCCGGATGCCTTCCAGTTTGGCAGCACAACCTTTGTCAGCGTGAAAGAAGCGAAAGAAATGCTGCGCAGCGTTTTCACTCGCCGAGACATCTACGGTAATCTACGTCCAATCATCTTCGTCGGCCACGCCGTCTCGAATGACTACGAAGTCATAAAATCGCGCTTTGGTCTCGACCTTGAGGAACTCGGCACTATCGTCGCAACAATCGACACACAAGTGCTGGCCGTAGAACACGGCCTCGTAAACCCATCCCGCAAAATCCGCCTCGCACACCTCCTCTCCGAATACGACATCAAAGAACCATACCTTCACAACGCTGGTAACGACATCGTATGCACCATGATCGCCGCTTTCCTCATGCTTTGTCCTCCCACCGAAGCCCCGCTCAATAAGTTGCATTACGTAGACCTCAAAGCGCAACTCCACAACGCGGGCCAAACCGCCATCAAAGAAGGCCGCGGGTATGGCGTCACACGTTTCTGTGAGAAGTGTGATTCCCATCACCACACCGCACCGTACTGCCGCGTGAGTGTCTGGCACTGTGAACACTGCGAAAAAGACCCTCTGACACGACACATGGCGTATACCCATAATTCACAGAAATGCATTCATGTGGTCAAACAGGCTGCGCTGATAAAAAAACAGGGTAGCATGGGTTATGGACAGGGTGGGTCGAAGCGCTCGAGTAGTCCTAATGCTGTGCCGTGTGAGTTTTGTATTGAGAGTACGGATCCGAGGAGGTATTGCAATGAGAATGCTTATGGGCATAAGACGGGGGACTGTGCGTGGCGTAGATAGAAAATATGAGAAAATCAGATTAAGATATTTATAACGTGTGTCCTGATTGATGTCATTTGATGATATGAGGTGTGTAGGGTATGCAGGTTTGGGGTGATTTTGATCGCAGAGATCATCGTCTTCGTAGAAATCTCGGGTTGATCGAAAGTACATGTGTGGCCTAATTCGTCAGGTCGTCTTGTCGCTGCGATACCTGTCTTGTTGGGTGGAAAGGTGCAGCGTGCCTGCCTTGCAAGGTTAGCGATGTCGCACAGCGTTGAAGCGGTGACGTGAGAAGCAAACAAATATCCCTACGTCGCTGCCTACGCGCTTTTCTTCAAATCTGGCATGTACCTTCTGGATGTGACACCTTTCATCCCAATCACTTTTGCACACCTCCCGCTTTGCGTTCAGTCTTGTTCTCTTGCATCTTTGACGCACTACCGCTGCTTGCCGACAAGCTCCAGCATCTCTACACGCCTGTGTTACCTCATCGACCTGTCTCAGCGTTCACAGTCATGTCTCACCGCGCCTTTCATGAGATGCCCACCGAGCTGGTCGAGGCCGCCGCAGGCTATATGAACGATACAGACCTTCTGTCCTTTCGCTTGACATGTAGACATGCAGACGCGAAGACTCTACGCGTAGTCGGCAAGCGCTTCTTCACTACCCTCAAGACCACTCTGATGGCGTCCGATCTCGAAAAGCTCGACGGCGTCTCTCGAAGTGCGCGGCTAGCCGAATACGTTAGAGCCATTCGGATCCAGGACGACCAACAGAAGGCTGTATCTATGCCCTCGGGCGAGGGCATTCGTCTAGAGCCAGAAGAGCTAGCGAGATTGAGAACGAGGCACTGGATCTGGGCGTGCGAAGCAGTGGGCGTCCTTGAGGTAGACAAGACTGTCGTTGCCAAATTGAAGGCGATACTCGAGGAACGCCTTTTGTCTCTGGAAACCCTTGCTATTCACTATTATTACACCAGAGATGGGAAGGAAGATGCCGAAGCAACCGTTGCGCTCGCTCAAGAGCTCATTTTAGGTGGTAAACCGGCCACTACTTCATTTTCAGTCTACCTCAGTTTGCGAGGGCTTCCCTGCATGGGAGCCGTCTTGACGCTGTACCTTGATCGATCCGGACAAAGAGAAGGTTTAGATATCAGACTGCTTCAGAAGGTGGGATTGCAGCTGTCGTCCGGTGGACCTCCATCGGACCATCTGCTTACCACAGTTTCCCAGTGGGCGCAAAGGTTGGGAGATCTCCGACTGGAGTGCTCAGGACCGGGAGAAGCACTACTTGTCGACCTCGTGCATCAAGGAAGGTTCCTGCCCAAGCGGACGATCCTGCGGTTTTCGTCAAAGGCGTTTCGTCATGTTTGCAGGACATCCTGACGAGCATCGGTCTTACACGCATTTCCGTGGTCTCCGTGTCACGACCGGAAACTTCTTGCATGAGGCTTTGGACGAATACCCACAATAGCAGACTTGGCAAGTAGGCATTAGTCGCGATCCCTGGAGTGAGGACGGTGCAGATGTAGACACTTACGAAGTAGTAATGCGAGATGTCCCTGAGGGTTGCTTTGATCCTGCTCGGATCGATGGGGGGACTGGGCAACATGTTCCTTTCTACTACCTGAAGGGGTGAGGGACACTAGTATCCTAGTTGGCAACTCTTGTACTCTTAGCGCTATAAAGATTGTGGCGCTGTATGCGAGAGTTTACGCAGTAGGGTCGTAGGATAGCTGCATGTATTCTGATGGTGATTGAAACCAAGCGTCAGAAGACTAAGAGATCCTTGTCACTGTACCAGGCGCCCTGAATTGCAGCCCTTTTTCGTCTTAACCGAACGCAAGCGGGTAGCGGAATTTTGCACATGTCTCGATATATATAGCGTGCCGTTGACAAAGCTCCAATATGTCGGAAACTCTGATCAACCAGATCGACCATCCTCAACATACCGCTCCCACCCACCAATCATCCCACCTAAACACCGCCCATAATCCCCTCCATCCACGGATAAACCGTGCCATTCGCCTCCGGATATCCCATATGCAACCTCCCCTGCATAAACCGCATCTCCTTCGGACTCCCATACTCCGCCAGCAACATACTATCCTCCACGGGCATACACCCATCCAACACGCCATTCACAAGCAACAACCTACAGCTGCTCATACCCTGCCCTACAACAGCCACACCCTCTCCCTTCCCACTCACGAGCGAAAACTCGTCTTGGCACTTCTCTTTCATCTCGTCAAAGGACGAATAGCCGTATTTCTGGATATACGCTTCCTCGAGACCGAACGGGTATTCGTGTTTGGAAATCTGCGAGAGCCATTCCGAACCGATGTAGTGGTGGGTTCCGGCGCCGTGGCCGACGCTGCCGAGGAGTTGGGTGCGGTGTGTGTGCGCGAGGCGGATGGCGTAGTAGCCGCCGGCTGAGAGACCCCAGGCGATGACCTTCTTTTCGTTCAGATAAGGCGTTTCGCGGATCCAGTCTAGGATGCTGGTGAAGAGCCGGTCCGGCGAGAGCGGGTCGCGCTTGTTAGCAGGGCAGTCAACGGTTGTGCCGGGTATGTCGCAGATTACGGTTGCCCAACCGCGGTTCAAGTGCTCTTGTGTGCGTTCTGTGTTGTCGGGGCGGTGGCCGTCTAGGCCGGTGATGAGGAGGACGGTGGGGAAGGGGCCGGAGCCGGTGGGCTTGCGGATGTAGAGGGGTATTGAGGTGCCGTCGCCGTTGGAGGCTTGTTTGTGGGGTATCACGACTTCTTCGAGGGGAATGTCCCATAGTTGTGCGCCGCGGAAGTAGACTTCCTTTTGCTCTTCGAAAACCTTCTTCTTGAGCTCGGTGCCGATGTAGGGGAATCGTGCTAATCTGTATACGGCGTTTGCGTTGAGGTATAGCTTCTTCGCTGCCTCTTTGTCCTTGTTTTCCATGTCTTTGGCTTCCTTCGCCAGGCGTTGTGCGGTTGGCAAAAATGCATTTGTGTATGCATCGTCGTAAGGATCGTTGATGTTGTTGTCGATGAGATGCTTGAAGATTGGTTCGAAATCTTCAAACTTGCCATCGTGGAAAGGGTAAACGCCTTTGGTGCAGGGAAATTTCCATCGTTGTTCCCAGAGTTTCTGAATGCTGCCGCGATGTCCGTATTCCTTGGTGAAGAGGTCGCCCAGGATCCAGTTTCCGTTAGGCATGATAGAAACAATTTGTTCGAGGTAATATGTAACAGTATCTTGAAGGTAGGCTGCGGACTATTTGCATGTCGTCGTCGCGCATACAAGCGTTGTATATACTACCGTTTCGGGATCGGCGGGGCCGGCTCGCCAGTTGCTTCAGGCCCGTCCGGACGGACCCCCGCAAAATGAACTACGGCTTCCCGTAGTCTGCATCAACCAAACGTACGTTAAACTTCCGATGAAGCTGACGTTGATGTACATGGATGGTGCGACAAAGTGGCAAGACCCTGGATGCAGGTACGAGGATATGAATTATTGCCCGGGAAACTCTTCTACCTCTTCCTCCTCCGCTTTACGCTTCACGTACTCTCTGAGGACATGCACCAATCTCGTCCTACCGTCTTGCCTCTCAAACACCTGTGCGTGGTCTGCAGTAGGCCACCAAATCGTCTCTGTACCGTGACCTCTCCACTCGGAGTCCTTCCAGGTCCTGTCCTCGCCCTTGAGGTCAGCACCATTAAGGTACTTCCCGATGGTCTCGGTGTCAACTATCAAATCCCTGCCTCCGAGGCTGACAGTCACGTCCCGGTCTTTGAGGTCCTCCTTCCACAGTATGTTCTGTGCCCAGAAGAATTGGCGCGCCAGGGTCTGCGCAACCATCATGTCGGTAGAAGCGAAGTAATAGAGTTGGTGCTCGTTTGCGCCTTTCGGTCGACGCGCGGTAAAATTGTACGCCACGTCGGGAAGATGTAACAGGAATGTAACAGGGTCGATGAAGACCATCGGGCCGATTTTGGCAGCGGTGATGGGGTCCCGAAGAAGGTGAGTAGAGATGACGGAGCCGTAAGAGTGACTTGCGAGTACGACTTTGTCGAAAGCATGGCGTTCCAGGATCATGTTGATCTGGCGACAAATGTCGTCTTTGTCTGGAATCGCCCCAGTGATGCGGAAGCTGACAGGCATGATTTCCACAGCAAGAATACCAACCTGACCATCTTGTACCGCAAGCGGATCGTGCTTGTTTATCTCGTTCAAGAACTCGACGTATGGGTGCAGGCCGATGCCGATGCCGTGTATGAAGAGAATGGGTAGTCGCGTCTTCGAGGTGTGTGGTCGGTACCAGTAACTCAGATCAGGCGCAGATGAGATGTTGCGCGTAGTGAAATTGGCGAGCCGCGGTGGGAAGATGGCCAGCGAGGAGCGAAGGTGGGTGCGGAAGAGCATGAAGCCGTAGTAGCGCAGACGAGCGGCGGTAAGGGTATCGACTAGCATCACGATCTGTCGCCGTCAGTATCCCATATAATGTCGAGACCAGCAGACATACCATATACCACAGAAACGGCCGATGGGCCATGTTGACTTGGTCGATAGTCAGGCGCAAGCTCTTTGCGCTGCCCATACCAGGCGCCAGCTTCCTCCCAAGCATCGTCTCTATGCCATCCGCGTACTCGTTCAGTTCGTCATCTTCAGCGTTGGTTTCTTCCGGGTGCGCCTGCCGCCTCTTCCTCCGCTCCTCGTCGCTCTCCGTGCCGCGGTTCAGCAGCGCCCACGCGAAGAACTCGCGCACATTCTCGCGTCGTATCTCGCCCGGTCTCGCGCCCAGAAACCACCTGCTGATGTAGTACTCGGGGTGAGGGATCTTATCCCAGCATCGCCAGAAAAGCTCCTTCCTCTCCTCCTTCTCGAGGGGCGGCGGGTGTTGCGCAGAGGCTTGAAGCGCGCGCTTGCGGGGCAGGTAGACAAGCAGCCAGAAGGCAGTCTCGATGATGCTCCACGTGAGGAGGAAGCGACGGAAGGCCGAGTGCGGGGGCTCTGCGATGCTGAAGGAGACCCAGAAGATGCTGAAGGGCGTGATAGCGCGGAATCCGAGGATGCACGTCCTGATGAGCAGGTACTTGGGGAGCGTGTTTTCGATCATGGCGACTGTGCGACAGGATATTAGCTATCAGGAATTCAACCGCACCCCATCGAAAGGCATGGCGGGGGGATTATCGTTATCATGGTCGAAGTTGTTGACGGCTACACGGCAGGGTTGCTGCTTACAGCCCGCCGATGACGCAGCTGCCTGCTGCTCTGGCTTAGTCAGCCGCGCATCACACTTCTCGCAACCAACACCGTATTCGGCAGAGTGTACATTCATCCTATATTGTTTGCATCTATGCTAGACCCAAGGTATCTTCAAGGCGTTTTCAGCCGTCATCTGAACTTCCAAAAGCAACTAGTCACCTCCCGGCCTGTTCAAAGCGCCGCCAATCTAACGCCGAAACACCTGTGCAGTCCTTCTGCGATCTCAACCTTGGTTGTATCCTCCGTGCCCTCCACGTGGAGGGTATCCACCACGACCACGACCGAACGAAACGTTGCCATAGCCGCCTTGGCCGAGATGTCCGCCAAAACCCCTGACTGAAGGGTGTCCTCCCGGGCCTGGCGGGGCGGAGCCATGTCCACCAGCAGAGTCGAAGTACTGTCGGAGACCGTCATAGTTCATGGTAGGACCAGATGGACGAGTGGAACCACGACGTGACATGGGACGACCCCAGTTGGAGTAGAACCCCCCACGAGGCGGATTCTTGGTCTTTGGTTTCTTGAGGGCCCGAGCAATAGCGTCCTTCTCGCGCCGGATGAGGGCCTTCTTGTTGGCTACACAGATGCAATGCTCGGTGACGTGTTCCTTGCCTGGCTCGATATTGCACTTGTTCTCCTCGCACTCATCACAACGAAGGTCTGTGGCGGTGCAATCTGGCTTCATGTGGCCAATAGTGCCGCACTTGAAGCAGTACTTCTCAACGCCACCGAGGCTATCATCGAAGTTCGCCACACTATGGCGCTCCAGATCCTCGGCCACTTGCTTCATACTCTTGTGTGCGAACTTCTTGCACTTGTGTCCGCCCAGAACGATTTGGAATGCGGAGATCAAGGTGCGAGCGGCGTCGTTTGCCGCCGTGTGGGAATCACGATGCTCGAAGGAGAGCTCTTCGACCATGCGCCTGAGACCAACCTGCTCGTTCCTCGGCATCATCCAGTAACCTTTGTCACGAACCAGCAGCTGGGTGTCGATGTAGCGGACCACGGTACCGATTGGCTCCATGTCGAAAGCAATAGCCTTGGACTTGAGGTTATTCAGATCGTGTCCGACGTCGTGGCCGAGAACGACGATGGGGAAGTTACCCTTGAGGTCGGGGAAGTAACCCTTGAGGCGGGGGACGTCACTGATAGGTTGTACAAAGAGGTCGGTCAGGATCTGACGCGCCTCGGCGAAGGTGACGAACCGGCCTTGACCGAAGCGGTTGCCTTCGACTCCCCGCGATGCCGGATTCTGGTTCGGGAGATGGGACGTCTCGATGGTGCGTAGGAGGTAGAAGCGGACTTTCTTCATCAGGTTCTCCCCATGATCACCGAAGTCTCCAGTGGCCACGATGGGCAATACATCCTGACGACCGAAGGTAGCGATACCGACCTCGGTGGTCTCGTCGGTATTGTTCGACCAGTGCTCACAGTCAATACAGATGACGATGACATGGTTGGCGAGGTCGTCGGCCTCGTCGGGGATGTTCTTGACGCGCCTGCCGCCGACGCAGTGCTCCCACACTTCAAGGTCGCTTGCTTCTTTGAAGCGGGCCTCGAGCGCGATGATCCTGGGGTCTCGAGTATCAGGTGTATCAGTTATACTGACTGCGTTGAAGCTGGATGCGACCGCGGCGACCGCGGCGACCGCGGGATCTTGAGCATCAGGTTGAGTACTTGCGGGTTGGGCCGCGGTGACGGGGACCGGTCCACTTTGGGAGTTCTGGGACATAGCGGTGTCGCTTAAGAGAGGTAGAGTACTGGGATGTGGTGAGTATCCCATGGCGGTGGGCGAGTCCGCTGTCTGCAGAGGTACGGAGTCAGTATATGTGTCATATGTACTTCGTACAGTCAGAACTTACCTTGCGTAGTATGTCGTGCGAGTGAGCGATCTCAAGTCGACGATGTCGTTCGGGTTGAATGTAGTCGCGGGTTCTAGTTGCGAAAAGACAAGTAGAGAGTGCGGCGGAGACCAGAGGGGTAGGTACGAGAAACGCCGAATGTATAGGTGTGAACGGTCACTAGGCCAAGGTGAGCACGTATTTCATTGAGCTGATCAGTGAGCGTGAGCGATCTTGAACCTTGGCCCGCCCCCGCCGCGCAAACAGGGTCGTCGTGGAGGGGCGGTGGTGAAAGTGAAAGAGGAGGGAAATCTTGGAGGAAAGTTGTTGAGGATATGCTCGCAATCTATAGAAGGCAATGTTGTCGGCAATGGCTGCATATTTATACAGTATGGCCTCAGTTCGCATGAAGTAGCGGATCATGGTTTCAATATCAATCTCCCATGGCTCAATCTCCCATGGCTATGTCCACTAGAGCGGATTAAGAGACTTAGTCTACAAAAAAGCTATCCAGGGTACGACAGCCACGGTCGCTAAATCAGCCAATCTCGTGCTTCCTATAGCTACGCCTACACACCGATATGTCTTCTCTACGAGCTAAGATTTGCGGTATTGCACCGCTTCGATATCCCACGCCAATCGCACGTGACAACGTCGTATCGCAAACTCTTTTGCTGATGATACTTCTCTTTCGCGAGAGGACCTGATTGCATGGGTACATATGGATTTCGGAAGTTGTGAGTCGCTCGTTGCGATGGGTCATTAACGTCATATCGCAATGTTGAAAAAGACGGTCATTTGCACGATTTTTACATGATTTTTGCATTTTTGGACCACCTGTAGATGATTCTATCGCTACTTGGAACAACATCGGCCATCCTCAAAAACGCCCAGGCAAATTTCAGAAGGTCGAAGTACGAGGTATCCTACACACAGTGTGGAGATACGCCAAGAGATGCGGTCGTCACAGGGTGCCATACCTTCTCAGTCTGACACACTACTTACACCTCTAGAACTCTGCAAGATCAAGCGCAGCCACCGCGTTAGCGACTTTCTCGATCGAGGAGACCTCAGGACCTTTCATAGCATACGAGATGCAACGCTCAGTCATATGAGTGCCCTTGGCCTGCTTGCGCTTGTCTGACTGGGAAGAGGCGCAGTGGTTACACTTGACCTTTGCGTAGCAAAGCTTGCCTTGATAATTCCTCTTGGTATGGCCATACTTGCCACAGCGGAGACAAAAGAGGTCACTGCCCCAGCCCCACGCTTGCTGCTGACTAAGCACTTCGATGGTATCGACAACCTCTTGTAGATGGCCACCGTCTTCGGTCTTGAACTCGGAGGGAAGCACCATCTGGACAGCAGCAATGAGCGTCATAGCGGCGTCGTTGCTAGCGGTATGAGCATTCCGATAAGCAAAGCCGCACATGCCGACGAGGGTACTAAGCCCGATCTTGTTGCCGCCCCATGAATCGTAGCCGCACTCCTTGGCTAGATACTGGGTGTCGATGATCTTGACAACAGTACCCAGAGCCATGGCGTTGAAGCCCAGCGTTGAGTTCAACATAGACATATCGCCTGAAAGAGCATGGCCCATGACAACAACAGGACAGAAGCCCTTCGAAGCATCTGTGTCATCGACGGGCCACTGGAACATTGCGGTAAGCATTTCCTTAGCCTCGGACTTGGTCAGGAAACGGGTGCTACCGAAGCGGTTGCTGCGTTACAGTTAGCCGAAGTCCTTTGCAATAGGAAGAAAGAAATGGTACTTACGCTTCAGGATCTCCAGGACACCACTTCAAGTTCAACAAGTGCGCATTTTCGAGAATACGCGCATGGTAGAAGTACACCTGCTTCAGCAGGTCCTCACCATGCATACCCGGACCTGCCAGTGCGCGCATGTCGCGAGAGTCAAACGTGGACGCGCCGATCTCGGTCAGCGCGCTCTGTTTGCACTCCCAGTTCTCAGTGTCAAAGTTGACGACGATCATGTTCTTGGCGGAGGGGGGCACGCCGTCGAGGCTTGAGAGGCCGAGGCAGTGCGCGAGGACTGCGCGGCTGGATTTGGTGGCGAGGGCAAGCTCGAGCTGCGCATTTGTGGAGAGAGGAGGAGGGGAGGAGGAGTCGTTGGAGTCGCGGCTGGGGGAGCGGGAATAGCTTGAGTCGGACATCTTTGTCGATCTCAAGAGCTAGTCATGTCAGTCAGTCTTGTTTATTAAACCGGGCTTCAAAGACTTACACGTATGATCTGGTAGGAAAAAGGGGTGGTCGACTGCTCAGTCTCGCTGATGAACTTCTCTGAAAGTTGAGACTTTTTCTCAACAGTAATTCGTTTCTCTTCGGCAGATTCCCTACGTATTTATAAAGGCTTAGTGCTGGGGGTAGGCTCGTGCTGTATCACGATAGTCTAGCACACTGCCAAGGGTGAATGTGATGCAGGGGGGCTGCCTGGGTACTGTGACGTAAAAGAAGGGCGGTGGTTTTGACCGAAATAGTGAAGAGAAGGCTCCAGAGTTCTGAGTAGGCTGAAACGTCTGTCTAGATGTTGGCATGAAAATGGAGTTGGTAGATGTGCTGTGTGGAAGTGTTGCATAACTGAGTGTGGACTCCAAATTTTAAGAATCAGATAAGATGGTGGTAGCGAGAACTTTCAACTTCGGTTATGCAAATATATAACTAGAGCACGAATAAGAGACCAACCAGATGTCTGATAATTGTCTACTCAGAACGTAGCTCACATTAAATCCTTCTATGGTCGCCATTCGCCGGTACCACTATTCTACGCAGTGAGAGGCGAGCCAGTCAAGACTTCAGCAATCCAAATCACCATCTTTAAGAAGGTATATATAGGATCGAAAAGCAAAGCCATGGCAACAATCGACATTTCCAAGTCCTTACGGTTTCTTGTGATGTTTTCGCGCCGGTGGCCAAGCACCTTAACCCAATACATCAACACTTCTTTGTTCAGCGTGTTTTTCGTCCCACAGTGCTAACGCAAGCTCCTTTGTGCGAAACATATGTTTATTAGCACAGACGAATCCTCATTAAATGCACGTAATTTTCATCATATGTCTGATCGATGCGAATCTTAATTATAATCAACTGAGCGGCGCAGACGAACGAATACGCGGCATGATGAGCAACACTGCCGGAGTCGAAATGACTGAGTTCCATGTCATACTCAAAAATCATTTTAAAGATCTACGTTATTTTTTGTCCGCGGCTTTGAAAAGCGTAGCACCAGTCGCGAAGTCTGCTTGTGAGCCTAGGTTCACGATACAGTTGTGCGCCACCTGCCGGCGGCTGTCCACCCCTGGCCTAAAATTGCTACTACTGGTTTGATATATGTTTGGGCAGTGTAAGATGGAGATGCATGCTCCATGAGTAGACCCGTGCCAGCATATAACCGAAAGCCGATACAAGTCGTATGGAGATGTCATCTGTGGGAATGCAAGCGTCAGATGAGGGATGAGGTTTTTTGGGTGATGTCATGGGACCAGCCGCACATGGCGGGCCGTGCGCGTATCGCTGTTCCTGCCCCGTCACTGGACGCATCACCACTGTACCTTCATTCTTAGACTTGCGTGTTTCAACATTGTCTTCTAATGTCTACGACAACGACTTTGACACTTTACTCTTATGCAGCATTTCCTCTATATCGTTCTATTGTACCTTGATTGAAGATCGGCGGCTCTCCACAAGCTTCCCCGCATTCCACCTGCAGCGAGTCAGGCCAACTCCACGTGTTCGCAGCAAAGGTTGCGAAGTACCTCGCGCATGGATTCCTCGTCTCCTCTCTCTCGCATCGATACACTAGTATCAGATATGCCGTTGGAGAAAGACAGTAATACCGACATCGTTCTACGCGACAGACTGAGTGCGCTGCCCGATGAGCTGCTGCTCCACATCTTCGAGGCGGTTGGTTGCCTCTCCAGACGCGACCTCTGCAACGTATCGCGCGTCAACAAACGATGCCACCGCCTCAGTGACGCCGTCTTATATAAGAGCATTCTGTTCGAAACTCCAGAGCTGCACCTCACATTCAGCGAGTCATTAAGCCGTCGCCCGCGCCGTGGCTCAGCCATCCATGAAATCAAGCTGGCTTATCCGTCTTCAGAGCTGTCGCAGCTGGCGCTCGATGCACCTGTCGCCGGTTCATACCTGGATCCCAAGCGATCAGATAGCCTCTCACGGACGCTATCGATCATGTCAAATTTGGAGAAGCTCGACATTTCCGTCCCAGACGTGCTCCTACACGGTATCGGTACCTTGTTCAACGGACCCTTCGATCTCGCATGCTTGAAGTCCTGCTCACTATTCTACCAATGCGCTAATGATGCTTACTGGGACCTCCGCGAGAACATACATATCTTCGCCCATCCTACGCTGGAAACCTTGACGATCCGCAGAGCTAAGCTAGACGAGAAGGGCTTCGATCACATCGAGCGGCCGCACATGACAGCGCTCAAACAACTTCACTTGATCGAATGCGATATTAACGACGACTCGCTTGGGGATCTCCTCGAATTGCCCGAGGCGCTGGAGGAGTTTGTCATGACGCAAACAGAAGAACCGGAGCCAGAACTGGAAGAAAGCTCTGATAACGTTGGGGACTATATCCTGGCTGCTCAGTCGCAAGCGGAGTTCTTGAAGAGCATAACGATCGATCACCCAACACTTACCGGGCGCAAGGTGCTACGTATGCGCGAGTTCGCAGCGCTCAAGACATTGCGCCTGAACTGGGATTACCAGCTGTTTGGAAAGTCATCTAAGAAACCGCGTCTCCATTCCGTTGGTCTCCCGCCTGTTATGGACACACTCGAGTTTTTCAATGAACTAGGAAGCGACGCCGAGGTCACAGACCTTCTACTGGCTACCATCGAGCAGAAGGATATCGTTGCTAGGAATTGGAAAACTTTGGTTGTGGTTGAGGGCGAAGACGGAGTATCGAGGGGAATCAAGAACGCGTGCAAGACAGCCGGGCTACAGTTGGACATCATTGGGGCTATGGACGAGGATACCGAATCAGAAAATGAATCAGAGAACGAATCAGGAAACGAATCAGAAAATGAATCGGAAAGCGGATCGCAAGGCAAATTCTGGGCAAAACCAGATGCCAGGACCCAGATATCGGAAAGCGAATCGGAGAGCGAATCGGAGGGCGAGGCAGGCTATAGGGTGCAGAGGGACATTGAGTCAGATAACGATGAGAGCATTTCAGGTCCTCGTCGTTTTATGTGAAGGGCAACACTTGCTCGTCTAGCGGAGCTTACATGACGTGTTGCGAACCTGATTAGACTACACTGGCGACGTCTTAGAGCTTGGAAATGCATATAGACTTGGCTTCATGCGCCATATTATACCAGTCCGTTACTGCAATACCAGCGTGTACCTCCCTTTCATAACGATCTTCACTCTCCGGCCATTACCCGGATTTCTACTCGCCTTCCCAAGCGCTCCCCTTTTCTTCGAGCGCCTCTTGGCTTGCCTTTTGTCCTCCGCGTTATCTTCATCAACCTGGTTCCTTCGTCGTCTGCTATCTCTCCAGCCCTCTACGTACAGCCAGATCTGTCGTAATACACAAATGAACACCATTACGATATGTTGCGCTTTAAGCTTGACATGTGCGGCGGGGATGTAGGAGATGTTTGGCCGAGGAATAGAGCCGAGTAGGGTTACTGGTAGAGATGCTATGCGCGCGAGCGCGGTAGTGGTGCTGTTCATCATTGTGCGGGTTCGGCGGGTTGCGGCATACGGTGGGTATAGCAGGAGTAGATTTGGGTTTGGCGTAGTATATGTGTAGTCGTCAACACGTCTCAGAAATTTACACAGTTCCGCATCATAGCAAGGCGTGGAGGTATTCAATGCATCTTCAAGTATCCACGTACATCCAGTAAGGCTTTGAAGCACGCCAGGGCTATCTATGTCACATTCCTCCATAGCTCGTGATAACAGCCAGGTGAACTCAATCACTCAACAACACTTCAACCGTGGAAGCCCATCATACCTCCTCGTCCCCGCGCTCCACCACCACGACCTCGACCACGACCTCGACCACCGCGGTAGCCGCCACGTCCATGACCTCGGCCTTGACCTTGTGGAGCAGGCCGGTAGCTATTGACCCTGTTCCGCATCTTGCGGATGCTGTAATTGACGTCCTCAAGCCGAATCACAAAGTCACCCGCCATGACCACCGAAGCAGGAATATCTTCAAGCACATCATTAGCACCGCAATCATCTTTCAAGTTTCGAAGCCATCTTACCCGCATCCTCGGTATTGCCAGGAACTTCATTCCGCTCTTTCATGTGCTTGATAACGAACGCGATGGCCTCCAACTTGAAACCAGTGCGTGTCATATCCGCCAGACGGCTGAGCGCGGAGATGAGTGCTAGACCCCAGTTATGGCAGTCTGGATCGGGGAGGTACTGGACTGGGAACGGGGTAGCCATGGAGCGGAATTCCCAAGCGGCACCCGCGGACGCCAGAAGGCGGGTGATTGTGGCCTTGGTGTCTGGGGGGAGGGTGGTGAAGTCGTGGAATGTGGGGCTGTTGTCGATGAAGTAGTCCTCGGCTTCGTCCTCGGCTTCGTCATCCGCTGCGTTGGTGTGGTCTTCGGGGTCGGCCATCTGAGCGTCCTCCATCGCGTTTTCGGTCTCGTTGGCGGATATGGTGTTGCCGGTGATGGGGTCCACGGTGATGGGTACAGGGGCGTTGCTGGCGTCGATGAGGTCCATGGTGACGGTCCTTGAGGTGTTGATGTGTCTTGGGTAGTACAATTGATTGATACGAGCTTAATTGTTATCAAGATAGCTTGTATCGATTGTCAAGCGGGGGTGTAGGATTGATCGAGGTACAGTAGTCGTGGACGATATATATATATATAGACTGGCAAGGCGCTAATCAAGAAGTCGCAGTGAAGGAGCCTTGATGGTGTGTATTAAGACTAGGGATACGCGAATCGCAAAGCCGTGGTGACGGACTCGCTCACTGCGAAAGCGAGACAGAGTTGTAGTCTCCCCATTGTTACTCCTATTATGGAGAGAATATTCGCTCGTCAAGCTCATGTGGATAGCTCTGTCGTTATAGCTGCCTGGAATCTGTCGTTTGCCCTTGAATCATTCCGGTGGTCGTTATTACGTTATAAGGTCTCCTGACGTCTTCATTTGAACAATGCTTGCATGCGCGCAAACGCTGTCTTTTTTTCTTGTTGCGGTTCTTCCATCGCAAAACCTCCAGCTCCATTGTTTCCGTGATTATTCACGATCGCGTTCGCGGGTAGTTCGATAGGATCGCGATTGTCAACGGTTGGCTATGGGAAATCAGCTTCTCTATCCCCAACGCAATGCTTCGCTTCAATAATGGCACTCACTGCTGCCATATACCCATCAATCTGCTGCGGCTGAGCAGATTCAGGTCTCCCTTCTCCTTGCAACTCCTGCGGTCCATTGTGTTTGCACTGGTCTCCATGCAGCTCCGTCGGTACATGCGCTTGTCCTGCATACGGTGGTAGCACGCTTCCGTTGCTTGGGGCGCCCGGTGGTGCAGTATACTGAACCCCGACATACGGCGCGTTCTGTTCCTGCATCCTGCGCATAGCCCTTTCGCGCCTCCGCTGTTTACTACAAATCTTCATAAAAACGACTGTGCAGAAGATGCCTGTAACAAACATAATAACAAGAATTATGACCGCTACAGTGCCTTGCAGCGAAAGATTGGTGTTGCGACGTTGGATGGGCGCCATGATGTCTGATTGTTATTCGGGATTGGAGATGCGGTTTTCGAGTATGAGGGACGCGAGGGGATCAAACTCGCGAAATGTCATTACGCCCGGGAGGCCTTAGGTGTACTTAAACTCATAGCAAGGATGCAACAGGTCGCCTGAAACTCATGCACGCCTAGGCACAAATCTCGTGCACCGCCATGGACGTGATGGCGGCGCAGCGCTGTTGGGGGCCAAAACGGGTACGCGAGGCTGATCACTCGATGCTGCCAAGTCAAATTCTCCGAGACCGGCAGTTACGGCATATCTCTATCCAGAAAGACGGGGCTTGATATTGAAGGATACGAGAAGACGGTAGATCGAATGAGGTCTTACACTTGGTGATAGTACTGAAAGGTGTCCTGCTGTAGAGCCAGTCCTTGTTCTTGTGTAGCATGTATGACGTTGTTCAGGCCGAACACCGCCTCCTCCTGATGGCCCTCTAAACCGCTCTCTAGAACCGCTCAGAGAAGACGAAAGAGAATGTCCAGCTTGATGCTCATCTATCGGATCTTGAGGTTGTCGAGAGCTTGGTAGGGCTCCCGCGCTTGAGCCTCGTGGCGCTTGCATTAGCGTCGATTCAGTCGGTAGATGACGCGCATTTGGATCCAAGACGAGATGACGTGTGACATCTGACCAGCGCGAAGAATTCAGTGAGCTTGGGAATCGAACATTGCAAACTCTGGATCTCTTCTGTCGAACGATATTCGCTATGCTGCAGCAAGGGTGAGGTGTGTCTTGATCGCCAAGCTCGGCTGTGTCTCCCCTCGACCCATGGTTTTCGCGACTACGCGCCGACTCTGCCACAACACCCCACGCACTTCTGCCTGTGCGCCCGCCTATCCTACAATCAACCTACCACACCACGCCGTGTCATCTCAAACGCACACGTCTCTAATAGGAGATAATCGTGCGACACACTACAACAGTCTCGACATACAGTCTGAGTATGCACTCGCCGCATAGACACATACGAAGACGTCAATACTACAAGAATCAAAATGGATGAAGACCTCCGTCTCCTCGAGGTATGCAACGGCGCGAGAGTAGACATTTGTGCGACGTCGCTAACGGGAATGCGACTTGCAGCAGGAATACTGCCCCACGATAGACCCCACTCTTCTTTACACGATATACTCGGATTTCGCAGGAGAACCGAACGCAATCGATCTTACTAGACAACTACTCGAACCCCTGAAGTTGACGGCCGACGCCGAAGCCCTCGATTTTGACCCCTCTGGCAGCAGCGGAGGCGCAGTTCAAGGCAGCCCAGACAAACACAGTACCGATGTCGACTCCAATGCTGATTCGTGGACGACGCAAACGGTAGCGACGGACCACTCGACGCTCTCGAACGAGTTCTCTACACTCAGTGTCAACGGACGGTCGGGTGGCTCAGAAGGGTCCCTGGAGGATGGGTACTACAAGGACATTGAGCAGTCGGACGTCTCCACAAAAGAGCTGTTGCTTGCCGAAACTTTCCCAGGTCTGCGGCTCGCGCAAGTCACGTACACGCTGAAGAAGTGCGGATACGATTATGATAAAGCGACGGATGAACTGTTGAACCAAGTCTTCTTCGATGACAGTAGGAAAAGCCCTACTGGAGAAGGGCCAGTCGCGAAGGGTATTGATGCATTCTCAGAAGACCATCTCGTACCGCAAAAGGGCAAGAAAGCTAAGAGCAAGAAGAAGCAGAGACTTTCCTTGGAGGCGGGTACTAGCTACCTCGTCGAATCGGATGCGCCAACCAATCGCTGGCAAAACACGAGTCGAGATGTAGACTTTATAACGTCGCGTACAGGCCTTCCAGCGAAGACGGTGTCGTCGCTTTACCACGCGAATGGAACGTCCGTTTCGGCGACTGTGCTGGCCATTGTAAAGAAGGATATCGCAGCGCACAAGAAAGAGGGTGAACCAGATGCTGCACTGATACAGGATGCGATCACACTAAATGAGGGCTTTCCATCTATGGATCTGGAGCACGCCCTTGCCATAGTGCGACTTACTGCTCCTTCGACGATAAAAGCCCAAGAGTTAGCGAAATCCCTTACCCAACAACCTGCTAGCGAGACAGGTGGAAAGGGTGGTATCAAGCTCGACTTACGATATGCTCCTGTCGATCTATCTGACCCTTCCGAAGCTACGAGACTCCCTACTTTGACTCCTTCTGTTCGACCGCGCGACGCAATGTCCACAGCTGCTGCACGAAACGACGCATTCGGGAAAGCATCAGGTGCCTACCGCAAGGGCAAGTCGACGCCACTCATGAGGCAAGCAGCCGCGTACTATGCACAAGAAGGTCGCGACCTCAACGCCAATCTGAAAGCGATGAACGCAGCCGAAGCCGACGCATTCGTTTCCACGCAATCTGGTCCAACATACCTCGATCTCCATGGCGTTACTGTCGCCGACGCAACGAGAATCGCCAAACAACGAACACAAGCTTGGTGGAACGGTCTGGGCGAGCGCAGAATACCCGAG